CTGTGGCTTTGCCCCACCCCTTCTTTCTTCTCATTGGCTCACTGGCTGTGATTGACAGCAGTGGGAGCCGATTGCTCCTGCTTCTGTGTCAGCCAGTGAAAAGAGGGAGTCCTGGGATAGCTGAGACTCCAGTGCACATCGCTGGATCGAGAGGGGGCTTAGATAAAAATTGGGGGTGAGGGGGATGCTGCACACAGTAGGTTTTTTAGCTTCATGCATAGAATGTGTCAGGGCTCTGGGTATGACCAAAGGTGTGTGGACCGACACAGGGAAACACAGACTTCAGGTATAGCGTGTAAAACAATATAATTTATTAAGGGCAACACAAACATAAACGCAGTGCAACAAACCAAACCCAAAACTAACACAAACACGTACAACAAGGTGCAACAAACCCAAACCTTAACTGATATATATATATATATATATATATATATATATAAATATGGAGCACAACGTAGTCAGGCGGGCCAGGTCGGTAGCTAACGGGCAGACAAGGTACAAGGAGTAGGCAGAAGATTGGTCAGGAGTAGCCGAGGTCGGTGCAGGCAGAGTTCAAGCAGAGTCAGGATCAAGCAGAGTCAGGATCAGGCAGGAAGCAGACAGGATGCAGGTACAGGGGCTCATGGGAACAATACACCAAGGCCCTGACTGCAGGCCTGGCCATTCCTTAAATATACCTCCTGCAATCAGCCTCAGGTGATGGCTTGATTGCAGGAGTGAGCTTCTTGCTGCTGAGAGCACCCGCTGGCCAGCCCTGGTACTGCAGCCCACAAGGCAGGTGAGTCCCACCACCATTGGCGAGTCCATTCCTGACAGAATGCATGAAGGTAAAAAACCTTGAGCCTTTAGAACCACTTTAAACCTGGCCTGATGATCAGAAGTGTGAATTTTATTGATCAGTCCTCTTGAACAAAATTATTGGTTAAACATTTAAAATATATCATGTATCTTTTTTCATATTTAAATATCTTAAAAAGGCAGAATGTAAAACAATAGATTCTTTTAGGCATATAAAATGGACAAATGACTGGTAGTTGGCACATGGTATGAGGAAAGGTACTGCACATATCCTTATTGTTGACAGTGATTGAAAATAGTTAAAGTGACACTGTCAGGAAGCAAAATGGGGGATGACGTTATAGAGGAAAACTGCAATTATCTGACTCCATGGACTTATATTAGTTCTGGGACAGTAACCTCACCTTTACTTTCATTGAAGCTGAAAAAGGTCACCTTCATTTCCAAGAAGCTAGCATGCAACCTGACAGTCAGAGAAGACAGCTTCCATCCAAGGCTTCTCTCATTTTCATTTTGTTTTCTGGTAGAATCCATATAGTAAAAAATGCTATAAAATTATAAAGCATTTTGCATAAGGTGACAGACTAAATATATCAGCAAAGTAATGGCATTGCCAGATATAATAAGAATTTGGTGGCACATATGGCTTTCTTTTGTCACTGAAAGTCCAATGAACTAAACCCTGCTCAAGGGCTGTAAATGCTGATGAATATGGCATACATACAAATAGATTTTAAAAGAATGGTAAATCCTGCCTGGTATGGGTGACTGACATGTTCCTGTTTAAAACTGAAAGTAAGAAAAAAAATATACAAAATTCACAAATTTTTCCATTAAAAGCTTTTAAGGAATTCTATTCTTTCTTTTAGAAAATATAAGTAAACTGTTCCCTACTGAAATTTATGTCGAAATGGAAAAAAGTGTGTGTGTGTTGCCAGGTTGCTCATCTACAAAGAAATATCCATAGGAATTCAAAACAGGTATAGAGGCACTTAGAGGTAATTTCTGCAGGAAAATTCCAATTTCAAGACCAGCAGCACTTATGGGTGATTTCTGCAGGAAAATTCCAATTTCAAGACCAGCGAAAATTCCAATTTCAAGACCAGCGAAACTCCCCAAAGTGGAAACTGATTTCCACTTATTGAGCTGCTTGGGTGAAATTGATTGAAATATATTGTGTTTACTATTTTTCCTTATTTACAAGGTATATTTTTGGTGGGGAATATGATTACTTTAACTTATAGAATTAATGTTCTTTGTAGATATTTTTTTTTCTTTCTTTGTGCATTTGATCATTATTTGTGTATTTTTGCTTTAAATTTTGCTTTTGTCATTATGTCATCTTTGTCATTATGTCATCTGTAGTTTTCTTAAGGGAGTTCAAAGATTGGAGTACTTGGTGAAGGTGGAACATTTCCAATGAGGGCATCCCAAGTGGAGGAAATACTGCACTGGTTTTATCTCTCTGTGGTCAAGAAAATGCCCTGTCCTGTAATAAACCTTGTCAATCCTCCATGAAAAACAGTAAGGGCAAAGGACTGGAGGGAACAAAGGGTTATTGAAAACAGGGGCCACTGATGGAGTGCTTTACAAATAGAGTCCCTGAGATGGAGGAAGTCCGACAGGGTTGGGCACAAGATCATCTAATGATTCTCAGAGGAACTCCACATAAGACGATCTGTTGATAGTGGAAGCCCCACTTGGGCTTCCAGCCTGACCCTGCAGGTCAATAACAGATGGAGAAGATTTGCGTTAGCTGAATTAATTTATCAGTCTCTGAAGTTGTGAGACCTCCAGACCACCAGACAATTTAGTAGGTTATAAGGTTTTGTGCGCCACTCTGCCCCCTATTGAATCACAAATATTTATGAAAATAAGAGACTGGAATCATTTTAGGTGTAATGAGGGATCAGTAGGAATAGGCAGAGAGCAAAATTAGTATAAAAACTTGGAAGCATAGTCTTTTTTAAACCGTGAAAATATGCAGACCACATCGTTAACCTCCCTAGCGGTATGATTATGTCAGTATTTCTGTGCTCAAAGTGGTACATTGTTTTCAATGGAAATATGTTGTTTTTTTATTGTAGGCCTGTAATTCTTAGGAGTAACTCACTGAAATCTGCCCGAACAAGAGTCTAGTAAACATCTCGGGTATGATAAAATTTGAACCATGAAATCATAAATTATAATATAATAAATAATAATATAATAATAATACATTTAATTCAATAATGTAATCAAACCAAAAACACAGAAATTTGAAATATAGCTCCAAGTTCGCACATCACTGAGCTCAGTCGCAGAATCGTTTTCAGTGTCTGATAACGAATTTCCCCACGAATCATTATCACTCAATTCTGCAAGTGGTTCTAATTTACTATCGCTGTTCTCTAGCTGGTCTAAAACCGCTTTTGACCTAAAGGGACGCTTTTTGGATGCCATGGACGTTTCTCAGTTTCCAGGCAGAAAGAACGGTAAAAATGCAGGCAGGGCACAATACAATGCACTAGGGGAAAAATGTATGTGAAATGGTTTGATACAGTAATGTAATACTATCAGATTTTAGTGTATTATGTGTATGTAAAATTTTGACATTTTTTAATCTCCCGCCGGTTCCGTCCCCTGTACGTCCCGACGCTCGCAGGGAACGGAACCCGGAAGACGAATGCCGGCATCGGCTGGAGGACATGGCCGGGGACACAGCGGGAGGACAGCGTGGGATCGCAGGACAAGGTATGTGATCCAGGGATCCCAGAGCAATGCTGCAGTGTAATCCCGAGTGTAGCTGAAATTTAACCCCGAGCTACACTTGGGAATACCACCTGGGGGGTTAAGTGTATTTCCAAGGAATTGTAGAGGGGAGTGTAGCTAGCCCAGTACAATGTAGATATATCCAAAGTGAGCTAAATGGCTGAGTATGAAAGGGTGCCCGTACATCATGTAAATTAAATGATGTCTTAAGAGATGGAAAGACCGCATCTGGGATGGTAATCTTAAAGTCGCTTTTCACCCTTCCAGATTAGTTTCCTCCTCTCCATCTTGCCACCCTCTCCGCTGCACAGCTATTAGTCTTTTTTCTTCTTTTGTTTGTTTAATTTTTGATCAGAAAGCATTTATTCCCACCCCCTCCTCTGTTATTTGCCTTGGTGAATCACATCAGTGCCCCTTGGTCCCTCTCGGGATATGTGACGTGCATATCCCAGGAGGCACCGGGCTTTCCATTCACCAAAGCAGGAGGGGGCGGGTCCAGTGGTATGTCATCGGGAGGTGTGCCTGTGTCTCCCAATAACACCCCAGAAGAAGATGGCAGCACGGGACCAGAGAAGGGGATCTCAGCAAGACAATGCAGAATATACTGGGTGGGTGGGTATCCTTCCTGTGCAGAACAATACATCAGGGAGGAAGGGGAAAAAAATATTGAGGGGTGGGGTAAAGTTCCATTCCTCTTTAAGTTCTTCTAATATTTCCCTATTTACTCGAAGGCCCAAGATATCACCAAAGTCGGTGAGAAATTTGAGTTAGTTAAGTAAGGTCATGATTGGTGGTGTGATAAACATCAACAGATCATCAACGAAGAGAGCACTCTTATGACTCCTTCATGCGTTCTGGATATCTTCAATATCAGGGTCGGATCTGATTGCAATGGCCAGTGTTTTGATCGCGATAGCGCATAACAATGGTGACAGGGGACATCCCAGCCCTGTCGGTATGTGTATCATGTCTGATCTGTAGCCATGTACAGCAATATGGGTGCTAGGGATGGTGTATAAGGTGTGCAGAAGGGTGAAATAACTTACAATTGAAGTTCCATTTCTGTAGGATATGGAAAAAGGAGGGAAGTAGAGGAAGTCAGAGGCCTTATGAAGATCTAAAGACAGTCACATCCATTGTCTGCCCCCTCCTCCCATCCCTGTTGCACCTGTTACAACAGGTGTGCTGTCCCTAAAAGCATTGAAGCTTTGTAAGTGAGGTGTGGGGCCAATTCTTTATAGTAAAAGATGGAAAAGCCACATAGACCAAGGTTTTAGAAGTGTTGGCCTCTTTAATTACCTGTATTTCTTGCCCCCCCCTTGATTTTGCCTTCTTGGATATTCTTGTGAACTGCTGTGAGGAACGATAGTTTAACTGCTTTAGCTCTGCCCCATAGTAGAAATACTGCTACAGGGTGGCAGCTGTGTGCAAAATCACGTGTATATACGTGATTTTGCATTTCTGGGTAGGGACCTGGCCGGTGATTACTCGCCCGGGGATTGCCGAGGATCTCCGATGGGGGGAGAATTGTTAGTAAACAAAAGAGTTCTCCCTGTCAGCTCCGGCACACTGCTTTGCATGGCTGTTCACAGCAGAGCCATGCAAAGCAGTGTGCTTACAGTGAAGCACACATGCACAACATAATGTAAAATAACACACAACACACAGTTAACCCTTTGATCGCCCCAGATGCTTACCCCTTCATGCTCAGTGCCATTAGTACAGTGTCAGTGCTTTTTATTAGCACTGATCACTGTATTGATGTCACTGGGGATGTCAGTGACACCAAGTCAGTTCCCCTCAGTGTCAGAATGCCAGCAGCAGTCCCGCAGGCATAAGTCGCTGATCACCGCCATCACTTGTAAAAATATATAAAAAAAAAAAGCCCAGTATATATACCGCCATTTGTAAACGCTATAATTTTCATGTAAACCAATTAATTTACACATATTGGGATTTTGTTTAGCAAAGATATGTAGCAGAATACATTTTGGCCTAAATTTTATGATGAAATTAGATTTTTTTAATTTTTTTACTGGGCATATTTAATAGCAAAATGTCAAAAATATAGTTTTTTTTCTCAAAATTGTCGGCTTTTTTTTTATAGCACAAAAAATAAAAAACTCACAGGTGATCAAATACCACAGAAAGAAAGCTCAATTTGTGGGGAAAAAAAAGGACGTAAATTTAATTTGGATGCAGCATTGCATGAACGCGCAATTTTCAGTTAAAGTAACGCAACACTGTAACGCAAAAAATGGCCTGGTCAGGAAGAGGGGTATATCCTCAGGAGGGAAAGTGCTTAAGGCATGTTAGGATATCATCTATTTTATCTGTTGCTATTCTCTCAGGTGCTTTATACAGTCTAGAATAGCATGAGTAGAAGAGACTAAGAACCGACGGGGGCTGGGGGTTTGAGTAAGGAAGCAACCAGGCTTCCTAAGTTTCGGAAGAGCAGATAGAAGAGGTCAGTAATTACATTTCTGATGTAATAACGTGCCCAGATTATCAGCCTGTGTATGTATAAGATTTTGCTCAGCTCCAACGGAGGTTCTTTTCTGCCTTTGTAGTAGAACATAAATCAAGTTCTAACCTAGAAGAATTAATTTTATCTCTAAGGTCCATATTTGGATTTTGTTTATGTGTTGTCAGCAAGTTAGACAATTTGCCTTCCTTTTATTTAATGAGGGATTCTGAGGATTTTTTTTTAAGAGAGCGACTAATTAGAAGACTTTTGGAAATGGCTTTCTAAGCCACAGAGTTGGTCACTGTAGAGGTGTCTTTTGGATCATTCTATTAAAAAAAATATTTTAGTGATGTGCTGTATCATAACACATAGGGGGAAATTTACTAAAACTGGTGAACACCGAATCTGGTGCAGGTGTGCATGGTAAACAATCAGCTTCTAACTTCAGTTTGTTCATTTATGCTTTGATATTAAAACCTAGAATCTAATTTGTTACTATGCAGAGCTGCACCAGATTCTCTGTGCACCAGTTTTAGTAAATCTCCTCCATAGATGGGTTGTTGAGACGAGAATCATTCAGTCTCCAGTGAAATAGGTCAGTATATCGACACAGGGAGGTGTAGGTTGCTAAAAGGTCTGAATGATCCTACCAAACGATGTTTGCATTCATTTTTTAAGGTGAAAGTAATATAGTGCAGCTTATGAAGCCACCAGGCTCTAACCATAACTAACATCACTTTTGGGTTAATCAACTACAATTTATTTCCTAAACTTCTCCAGTTAGAAAAATGAAAACTGCAGTGTGGTATGCATACTTGTGGCATGTGTACTTTTTAACTATTTTGTAACATATCCTTTTCACATCCTGGTAGGATTTTTTTTAATCTTCCCAGAATGCTTCTAGCTGAGAAATGCATGCAATACATGTTTTGCTTACAAACCATTCTAAAACCTAAATTACATTTTTCTAAATACATTTGATAGATTTGCCAGATGACATTCTTTTTTTATAAAGTAAAATGGCCATGAGTTAATTTTATGGATGCTTTCATATTTATGCCTCGTGGACAAGGAGGAAATAATCTTGGATTTCTACCTAGCCATTTATGGTGCTGTTAAAACGTTATGCCATATGAGGGTCTAGTATAGATAGTATAATAGGGGACTCCATTCTTAAGAAAACAGTGTGGGTTACCACCTAAAAATACATACCAGGCCTTTATCCTTGATGAGAGTCTAGTATAGATGTCAAGAGGACCCTCAAACTCAAAAAAAAAAGGTCTGTGCCATCTCCCAGATTTTATATCACACCCTTCACATGTGTTATGGACTTTAAGGAAGAGCCGCCAAGAAAAAACAAAACGTGTGCCCCCCTCAAATATCATAACAGACCCTTCATTGGCTTACCTTTACCTGGGGGACCACCCACGGTTACTCCCAAGTACACCGCTGTTTAAATCACGTTCATTTCCGTCTTGGTCCTCCATGCGTGAAATTCATAAAGCCCCTCTGGCGGAATGGTACCGATATCTGCAGCTTAGACACTAGATCTCTTCTTTTCGATGCGATTCCACATTTCCGTTCCGGAAAACAGTTTTCGAGCACATTTGTCAGCACCCTCCTGGTGCCCGCGGTACCATCTCTTTAATCCATTCACACCTTCTCATGGAACATCCCCCTTGCTCCCATTCTTATGTTTTTAAAATGGGAACAAGATCTCGCTGCCTGCTTAGCCCCAGAGGTCTGGAGTAGAGCTTGCTCGGCCATGGCCAAATGTTCGTTCAACACCGTCACTATGGAGGCAGCGTTTAAGGTCCTTCTCTGATGATACTGGGTCCCGGCTCATGTAGCCGATGTGAACCTGTCTTGTGACGATCGATGTTTTAGAGGCTGTGGATCTCGCGGAGATGAGCTATATGTATGATGGACGTGCCCGCGAATAGTGAGCTTTTGGTTCAGTGTCTACGGCATTCTATCATCCCTTTTTCACTCTACCTTCAGGAGAGACCCTTGCCATGCGCTTCTCCATTGCCTGCTTTTTGGCCTTCTGTCCCATCAGCAGAAACTAGCCACCTGTCTCTTTATAGCGGCTAAAAAGGCCATTGCAAGGGCCTGGAAGAAACCAACTGTTCAAATTGCTGAAGTGAGGGATATTATGACCGCTCTCATGGTTCATGAGAAAATGGCGAGTATCCTCAATAATTCTCAGCCTAGGTTTTTTTTTAGGTTACTTATTGCTTTCCTTATAGCCCTCCACCTGGTTTTACCACGTTTGGCTATTTACAATCTAGGATTATTTTGCCCTATGTTGGGGCACTATTTGTTGAGGGTTAACCTGTTTGTGTGTTGGTTTTGTATTGTACATTTGACCTCGGTCCCCTGTGAGGGACCTTATTCTCTGTTTATTTGTATTTTGTTATCCTTTAAAAACGAAACAGAAAAAAATAATAAAAATGATTGTACCAGAAATTCCTTTTCATGTTCAGTTTTCTAGCAGAAGCCTGAAGGTTTTGTGCCAATACTGACTGGTATTTGGAACTGTTCATAATTCCCTCTACCTTGACTAAGGCCCCAGTTCCAGCTGAAGAAAAACAACCCCAAAACATGATGCTGCCACTCACCACCATACTTCACTGTGGGTATGGTGTTCTTTTGGTGATGTGCGGTGTTGTTTTTGCGCCAAACATATCTTTTGGAATGATGGCCAAAAAGTTCAATCTTGGTTTTATCAGACCATAACACATTTTCCCACATGCTTTTGGGAGACGTCCGATGTGTTTTTGCAAAAAAGAAAAGGCTTCCGTCTTGCCACTCTACCCCATAGTCCAGACATATGAAGAATACAGGAGATTGTTGTCACATGTACCACACAGCAAGTACTTGCCAGATATTTCTGAAACTCCTTTAATGATGCTGTAGGCCTTTTTCAGCCTCCCAGACCAGTTTTCTTCTCGTCTTTTCACCATTTTTTGGAGGGACATCCAGTTCTTGGTAATGTCACTGTAGCGCCATATTTTCTCCATTTGATGACTGTCTTCACTGTGCCCCATGGTATATCTAATGCCTTGGAAAATGTTTTGTACCCTTCTCCTGACTGATACCTTTTAACAGTGAGATCCCTCAGATGCTTTGGAAGCTCTCTGCAGACCATGGCTTTTGCTGTAAGATGCAACTAAGAAACTGTCAGGAAAGACCTATTAGAACAGCTTAACTTTATTTGGGGTTAATCAGAGGCAGTTTAAATGATGTCAGGTGCTGACTCCTGTTTAACATAATTTTGAATGTGATTGCTTAATTCTGAACACAGCTACATCCCCAGTTATAAGAGGGTGTGCACTCTTATGCAACCACATTATTTTAGTTTTTATGTTTACTTCCCCCCCTAAAAGATTTTAGTTTGTTTTTCAATTGAGTTGTACAGTTTATAGGTCACATTAAAGGTGGAAAAAAGTTCTGAAATGATTTTCTTTGTCTCATTTTTTTACTTCACAGAAACCTGACATTTTAACATGGGTGTGTAGACTTTTTATATCTATTGTATATTGAAATTTTACTTTGCAAAGTTATTAATTTATAGGAAGTGCCCCCATAAAGGTAAATAAAGGTTCATACTCATCTCCCCTAGTGTTTAACCTTTTCAGACTAACAAACTCATAGTTGCCCTATTTTACAACTGCTTATTTAGGCTAATTGTCTTTTTTACCACATCCTAGTTTCTGTTTATGACATTGCATACATAAGGGTTGACTTACTAAAGGCAAATAGACTGTGCAGTTTGCAATGTGCATTTGCACTCTGCAAGTGTAGTTCCTCCAGAGCTTAGTAAATGAGGTAAAGCTCCACTTTGCAAAGAATACCCAATCACGTGCATGGGATATTGAAAAAAAAATATTTTTTTGCTAGCACATGATTGCATGATGGAAGTCAGCAGAGCTTCTGCTCATTTACTGAGCTGAAGCAACTGCTCTTGCAGAGTGCAACTGCACTTTGCAAAGTGCACAGTCTATTGTCTATTTACCTTTAGTAAATCAACCCCTAAGTTCCGGTTCACATATATGTGGACTGGATGCAGTTTGAACTGCATCCAATCCACATGACATGTGAAAACAATTGTTTCCTTTGGTGCCTGTTCACATATGTCCAGTGCACTAGTGGTGCAGATTCAGTGTGTATTCAGTGTAGTTTGAAAGAGTCCTGTCTGTTTTCTGAGCAGTGCAGTCCAGTTCAGGTGCGGATTACAGGCTGTTGACGTCTATGAGAACCGCTTTTAAACCGCATGTGTTTACAGGATAAAATCCTGAGCTGATCCTGTCCTGAACCTGATGTAAACCTGACATGAACCGCTGAACAACTACTATGTCAA